CTGATAACCTTGTGGAAGAACTCTGATGTAACACTGCATGTGAATATTATGAACCTTTATCTTGGCTTTCTCCGAAAAGGTTTTGTGGCCATTTACTCAAGGAAAATATAGAAAACCTACAGGGACTCATCTAGATACTCATACGCTGTAGATACTGACTGAGAAGTTATAATTCTTGAGGTCCTTCGGTCCTATTGCAATCTGCTGCTGCATGTAGTAATAGCTTACGAAGTCCACGTGACACTTTGTCTGGAATCTACCTCACATTTAGGTGAACTGGCTCTCTGAACCCATCCTGTAGGTCTTCCTATAGTTCGTGAGACCACAGTTGGAAACATCCTTAGCAAGTGACAAAATCTCTGCATTGACTCTATGACAGATGGAGTTGGAATTGTTATGGTAAGAAGGGTTAAATGGAAGCCACTGGAACTCTTTATGTCAAAATAGCGAATCAAAAGCAATGCTGTGAAGGATGGTAGAATATGTAACCCCAGAATATACCCCTTTGGCATAAAGATTATTTTGAGCTAAATGCACTTGAAAAGCAAATGAAGGTGCAAAAGGGACACTGACTCCCCTTTTCTTCTTGAAAGCAGGAGATAAAACTCCCATGTGAAAGATACCCTCCCTATACCAGGTGGAAAGAAACATTCTTATCACCAGAGATGGGGAGTTGAGGCTGAGAGAATTCTGTATAGACCTTGATAAAATAACTTTTATTTTCCTTTGGTCTTCCCACACATTTTAATTGCTTTTCCACAATTACTTCTCTTTGCTCAATCTGATATGTAAGTACTTAGGTTTTGCTACTTCTTTGGGTCTTCACTTCTTGTGGAGACTCCCATGTACATATAAAAATCTGTATGCTTTCTCCCATTAATCTGTTGTGTTAATTTAACCTTCAGGCCCAACCAGAAACCCTAAAAGTAAATTTTTGCCTTCCCTAACAGCTGTGTCTTTGGGGAAACTCTTGCAGCTACTTCCACGCAGGCTGTGGGTGAGTGCCCCTTCAGAATCACATGCAGCATGTGTAGCTAAGGCTAAGTCCCCCCTAGCATTGTCCCCAATGACAGGGGCAACTACAGAAAACTGCTGTCCAGGAACAGCTGTGCACTCACAAAAGATCCTTGCTTCCGGTAGGGGATAGGAGGGAACTGGAATGAGCTGGAATTCTTTTTTATTAGCTACTATGATTGGCTTTTATCAACTTCTTGGATAAGTTTTCTTTTCTGTTAATAGAAAAACACCCTTCAAATTATGGCAGAAACCAATGGGAGCCATTTATTTTAGGCATTTATTTCACATACAAGTTTTCAAGAAGACATCTAAGTGAACATCAATAGAGAACAATGAATAGACGTACATTTATACTTGGTCTCGGAATGCATTCAGACAGATGCAAAGGCTTATAGTTACATAAGTTACTCAGACACTCCTTTCATCTGGGGCTTCCCCAGCTCCCTCATAGGTGAGTCTTGTCTGTCACTGGGCGTCAGACCTCACAACATGGGCTTTCTTCACTTCAGCTACCTGCCATTGGCTATTAAGGTACCTAGGGGGCTGGGTGCTGTTGAACATGAGGGACTTGGCCTTTCTCCTTACTGAGCAAGCTCCTGGGCTGTCATGGCATTCCCTTTCCTAAAGCATCAAATGGATTCTGTATGGCCTGGATGCTGCATGCAATGGTGAGCCAGGCCAGTAGCCTAGTCTTAGAACCTCTTTCTCATCTATACCATGGTCAATAGACTCATGAAACATTAGAGCCAGAGCAACTAGGCAATCAAGTTCAACTTCTCTTCACATAAGGAACTAAGGCCCAGTGAGAGGCTATGATTTGTCAAACAACATTCACTAAGTGGTAGTGATGAGACTAAAACTTGTCTCTTTTGGCTTCTGGTCTAATGTTTATTCCACCATGGCAGGCTGCCCTGAGCTGTTTAAGTACATGTGTGAAGTTTTCCTCTTTAAAAAAGCCAAGGTTTCTTTCCAGAGGAATGAGTAAGGTTGAATGTGTAATAACATCACTGGTAAGAAGTGGAGGTATTTGTGGGAGTAACAAAGCAAGACTAGGCAGGAAATACAAGCCCAATTTCCAAAATGTCTTGGATGAGACGTTAGAGACTAAAATGTATGTTTATTCTACTTTTCAAAAATAGGAATTGATATAATTTCCAAAAAATAAGAAAAAATTGAATAAATATAGGTTTAGGTAGTTGGTTGAAGGGGGCTGTAAGTTTTGTTGAGCTTTCCAGCAGCCAGAACAAAGAGAAAAAGAAGTAAGTTATAAAAATCACAGTGTTTGTAAGATAAAAACTTTTTTTATTTTTTGCTTAGGATCAGAGCTTTCCTTGGTACTGAGATACTAAGATCTAGGAAAAAAAACTTTTTGTATGGATCTTCATAAAAGCAATGTTATCTCATATAAAAAACACATTAATCAGAACATGATTATTTATTTTGACTTGCATGACCCAGCTGAAAAAAGGATAAAATGCATGGAAACAAATAGTCTTGGTCTAATATGGAGGGTAAGACCTTCAGAACAAAGTCGATTAAATTAATACACAACCAAAAAGACCATTTAAAATTAGGAATATAGGTAGGGGAACCCAAATTCTACCTCAGCTTGATCCAGGCATAGGCAAATGAAACACAATCTGTTTGTTCCGCTAGAGATGGAATGGGTCTTGAGCCTGTCCTGCCATTGGGAAAGGTTGAGAGATGGAGGTATAGAATACAATTTTAGGCAATTTAGAGAAACTTTTCTGTGAGTGAAGGTGGTGTTCCCACGATTGAGTTATTGATCTTTTGTAACTGACACAAGTGTAAGTGGTAAGTGGCCCTACCTTTTGCTGTGATACTTCTCTATCATGTTGTAAGTTCCTTGAGTACAGGCACCATGCTCCCTTTTTTCCTTTCTGTATCCCTCACTGGGACTAGGACATGGCCTTACATATAACAGTGGTTAATAAATATTTATGAATAAGTCATCTACTTTCCTGAATCATGCTTCCATATAATTACCAATCCTGTGTACATATTACTAAGTGGTGATTTCTATTGATATGCATCTTCTCTAGAGTAGGAATTCCAGAACATCTACACAATATAAACACAAGCCCACTGGCACCACACACATCTTACTGTGCTAGGTACACTACCAACGTGAAACTGCACTTACTATTAGAAGTCTATAGTTCAGACAACATAGGAAATCAACCTATTGAGATTTGATCATAACATTTCCAACAAATATAAATCAGAAACATTTATCAAGGTTTACCTGAGTCACCTGCCTTCCAACAGGCCACACCCTACTCTCGCACCATAAATTGGATTTCTTTCCACAGTGTCTACCCTCCTTGGTACTTTGCTGAACAGGTTTCAAAAGATTCAAACATACTGAAAGGAAAAACGTTATCTCCAGATGTCTTCAAATAAGACAGCATTTGACAAAGGAAAGGAGAGATAAGAGCGAAATAATCACTTGCACACAGCCTTGACTCCGGTTATCTTTCCACTAAACTATGACTTCTCCCTCCCCAAAGCAAAGCCACTCTTGCTCACCTACGTATGTACTAAGGGTATAAATGCTACTGGCCTTATCTTGAAGCAACTGGCCCTGGAAAATCAAATTGCTGGGTTTCACCTATAACTCCCGTTGGAAGCTTTCCTTTAGTATTTACTGGGCTAGTGCCAAGGGGTTCTCAAAGAGATTTTTCAGACAAACAGGTAAACAAGGAAAACAAAAATGGAGTTCTGGATTATAAGTTTTTGTAACTAATTCCACTTTCATTCAGTGAGCTACAGAGTTGTATAAACTACTCAGGGCTCTACAATTTGGTTTATAATCCTATGAACAGGGACAAGAAGCCTCAGAAATAGAGACTGGTATATTTAACACAGCTACAGCCAGCCTTGGAAATGTTGGTCTGGACTGAGGTGGCTATCTGATACAAAGTGGGCCTAAGGAGTCCAACTGGTCTTAGAAATATTATTAATAAATGTCTCAGATCTCTACCACACTTTTTCCATATCCCTTAAAGTTTAGAAACACTACTATACAGTATTACACCGAAGTGTGGGGTGGGAGGTATAAATTATGTCAACATACCAGTCATGTTCTAGATAAGAGCCAGAGAAGTTACAGGGTAGAACTAGAATGTGTCTGAAATTCTACTTTACTTACTGAGACACATCACAGGGTTGCATCCCACTCAATCTGAGGAGGGCATGGTAGTAGAGTGAGAAAGGAGCACCCAGAATAATTAAGAGGTATGTGCAGGACTTATGACAAACAGCTAAAGGAACTGGAATTACTTATAGACTGGAGAAGCAGGAGTCAAGGGGATTCAAGTCTTCAGGTACAGAAAAGGATGCTGGGTGACCAACTGCTTCTGATCTCTATGGAGGGCAAGACATTAGTAACAGGATTTCAGTGACAATACAGTGATTATTCCCTAGCTATTTGGATCAACTTCTTGGCACAAAAAGGTACACTGTAATAGACTTCTGAAGAAAGCTATAAAATCTTCACTCTCCTTTTGTGAGTATCTTCAAAACCAAGATGGATTTGATGTAGTTCTGATCAGACTCCTGAAAGTTCTACATAAATGTGAAGATCTGTTATCAAGTTGCATCCAGGATCTTATGTAGCAGATAATGAAAAGAAAAAAAAAAAAAGGAAAAAAAACTTTCAGCATTTTTATCTTTTTGAAAACAACTCACCCACATGGAAGGATCTCGAATGCTGCTGGACTTCACGATCCAATAGCAGTGGCCTCAACATACCGAAGAGACTTTCGTTCTGAACTCAATTACCTTCTCCACTTTATTAAAGGAGAAGTTGAGATACATAGAAGGACAGGAACAGACTGATCAAGTTAGAGGCAGAGGTGAGAACAGGATGAAATTAAAGTGTTTAGTTTCTTTACATTCTCAAGTTAATCTTGGGAATTACATTTTATAGCTAAGAAAAGATTGCTTCCAAGAGTGAGATTAGGGTACAATGGCTAAAGGGACATTTAGGAAGAGAAGAGATCATCATCAAAAAGTTTTTCTGAATTCATCAGTCTTTCCCCTATGTGCGTTCTCTGGGGAATACACAGATGAAGGGTGTGGCAGAGGCTTTTCTCTCACATGAACTTCCCGGTGTTTGGTAAGAACAGAACTCTTACTGAAACGTTTGCCACACTGGGCACATCCATAGGGCTTCTCTCCAGTGTGTATTCTCCGATGTTCTCGAAATCTTGTACAGTTATTGAAACTTTTTTCACAATCCACACATTTGTAGGGATTCTCTCCAGTGTGGACTCTCCGGTGGGCACTGAAATGAGAACTGTTGGTAAAGCTTTTCCCACATTCTCCACACTGATAGGGCTTCTCGCCAGTGTGGGTTCTCTGATGTATAATAAGACTAGAGCTTTGACTAAAGCATTTTCCACACTCTCCACATCTGTAGGGTTTCTCTCCTGTGTGGATTCTCTGGTGGGCACCAAAATTTGAGGAGTCATTAAAGCTTTTCCCACAGTCGAGACATTTAAAAGGTTTTTCTCCTGTGTGGATTCTTTGGTGTCTGATTAGGCTCCTGCTTCTACCAAAGCACTTCCCACAGACACTACACTTGTAAGGATTTTCCCTCTGGTGGGTCATCCTGCACATAAGACGAGCACTCCTTCCAAAGCTTTCTCCATATTTGAGAAGTCTGTAGGGTCTCTTCCCCATGAAAAGCCTCTGATGCACGACGGTTTTCCCTACATCTCTAGGCTGAGATATCAGCTTTCCCTGTCTAATTCCTTGAAGGTTTTCCCATTGTCTTCCTGAGATGCATTCCCTTTTGCGGTATTTACTGAGATCAGTATTCTGGGAAAGAACTCTTTTGGACTTTTCTATTAATGCCCTATGCTGCTCCACGTCCTTATATATTACCTGCACTGGATCTTCCTTGATACTACTTCCAATTTCAAAATCTGGAAAAAGAAAAGACAATACAAATTTCACACAAGTCGTATATGAACATAAATAATTAACCTGGCCTGCAAGGCTTGGTATGTTAGGATCCCTATGTACTTCACTGGCCTGAGATCCTATGTATCTTCCCTGATTCATTACGTCATATTTTCTTGCAGTTCATGAACAGGCCAACAACACCCAGTACAGAACAGGCTTTCAGAAATGTTTTCTGGATTGAATTATAATCCAAGCTATTATTCCTCACCCATATCCTGATTAACATGGGAGCAACTTGGCTTATCTTCTTGAAGTTCCACTCTAATTCATCCTGTCTTCATTATTTGACACCTATACTAAAATATACTACACCATGCTAGTCTTTAAGTATAATAGAGTATACCAGAATATATTCTAGTGCCCAAGTCCAAATTCCTCAATGGTCTTGAGGGACTAAATTCACCAGTATCTGATCATATCCTATCCAAGAATACTTTCTACTTCTCCTCATATGTTCTTGTCACTTTGTTTTTCTGGTTGTCAAATTAACCACACTAAGTCAAATTTTAATTCTCACTGTTCCCCAAACTGGAATTATTTTCTCCTCACTCTTTCAATCTACATCTCATGTTCACTACAAGGTACATCTTGGATCCAGCTTTCTGTGAAGTTTGCTGGACAGAGATCATGACATGTGAAGAGACACAAGCTTTGGAATCACACAGCTCTGGTTCTGATCCCATCTTGGTCACTTATTAACTGTATGATTTTTGCATTAACTTTTTATTATGTGAAATTGAAACATATAGTAAAGTAAAGAGAATAGTATTTATCATGAACGACCACGAATCACTTATCTACCTTTAACAGTGATCTATTTACGGTCAATCCTGTTTCATTTCTATTTCCACACACTCCCTGTTTCCTCTATCTAGACTACTTTGAAGCCAATTCTAGACAACGTATTACTTCCTCCATAAATATTTCACAAGCTGTGTAACTTAGGCCCAATTCAGGTTTGATTCCAAAATCCTAATTCTTAAGCATCTCCTATCCTGCCTTGTTTCTACTTGTCAGTGTCATCATTAATTTCCTTCTATACATTTAGTTGAAACTGCTAGTAACTCTCATTTCCAAGTGTGGTGGCTGTGGTATGGGTTGGGGAGAAGAGGGCAGCCATCAATCAATCCAGTAACTTAAGTAAAAAACTCCAACAGTGCCATCTTTCATTTAGCAGTAGTTCTTTTAAAGCTTTCTGATTGAGTCCAATGTTGTTCTGGGGTTTGGAGGAAGTCTCAGCCTAGTAGTCAGCTCAGACAGAACCTGATAATTTGAGGATAGGTCTGGAACTCACGTTAAGATTCACAAGGACTCTGTTTCCATAATTATCAAAACCAGGATTATATAGGACTTACATTTAAGCCTTTATAATTTCCCATATAAATACTACCAGAGAGCTACATATGAACTTCCTTCTCTGTTGTAACTGGACATTACTTTCGCTTGCTGGGCTTCAGTTCTGTAGTCAATTCAGGCAAACTGGAGCCTCTTGCTTCAAGAAACTAGTCTTATACTACCTCACACATTCAAATGATTCCTGGGGGATTAATGTAGTGCTACCAAAAGACAGAGCTCCTGTCCCTCAGGAGCTCACCATTTACTGGAAGATCTTAGGACATAGAAAGTGTTCTGTGCCATAAGACAGACAGACAAAGTATGAGAGTGGAGAGAGAATTTGGACATGAAAATACATAAAACCAAGGACATTCAAGATGGAGAGAACATCAAGAGCTAAAATTTAGATGTGAGAGAGCTTAAGGTACATGTAGAAAATAGAAAGTAGTTTTGTTTTGAATAAGCATAGAGTGTAGGAAGAAAAATACTAATGCACAAGGCTAGAATAAGATGAGCTCAGATTAAAAATGGATGTAAAACCTCAGAGAAAGTATGGATGGGAAAAACTGGTTTGAAGACTTTTACAATAGTCTAGGCAAGAGATAGAGAAAGACTGAACTACAGTAGTGGCTATGGTAACTGAAGAGGGGACTGATAAGACATGATAGGCTACAACCATTGACAAAACGTGTCACATGCCTGGATGATGATGATGAACAAGGAGGTATCAAGATCACCTCTGAAGTTTTAAGACTGGATGAGCTGTGGGAGACCACAGGGAAGAGCCATGAGGTAGGGAGGAAGATGGCACTTTAATTTTGAACATATTAAGACTGAGCTACTGGTGAGATGGCCACAAGGGTATCCGGCAGTCAGTGGGAAAGATGCATGGTGGAGCTCAGGACCAGAATAGTCTCTCTCTCATTTTGTCTTTGCTTATCATTTTTTCTCATACATACCACATATAGCTGTGAGATATTTCTGTTTTGAGCTTATTGACACACCTCCTTCATCCAAGTTTTTTCTCATGTATAATTCCAAGTTCTTCTACCTCACTGTATTTCCAGGAGATACACTGACCCATACAGATAAAAACCAAGATCCCAAAGACCAAGTCACTAAAATATGAGTTCCTCCTTTGAATTCAAAGCACCATGAGAACAGGAACTGTTTTATTCATTGTTATATATCCTGTTCCTCAAATAGCACATGGCCTTCAAATAGTTGTTGAATGAGTAAATATTCACAAGCAATGTGCCAGATCAACTGATTTTTCAGTAAATCACACTTCCTCCTCTCTTAGACTAAAACCCTTTCATAATCCTTACCATTTGGATCTGGAGGTCCCTGGAATTCCAGCTCTTGTATAATTTCCTCTTCACTCACTCTCTCGCTGCCAGAATCTTCTATCACTGCCTCCTGTGAGGTCTCCTCTGCTTCCCAACCTGTAGGTTCCTCGTGTTCAACCTCAATATCCTCTCTTTCTTGCCTTAAGGGTGAAGAGACTTCTTCTGGGGTGCTGGTGGAGGGGGCAGATGCCCGAGAGTTAATTAGGGCATCCATCTCCTTGTAGAATGCACAGGACTCTAGCACGTGGCCATTTTTCACTTTGCGGTAACTCTTCTGAAGGCTTTTGAACTTGGTTCGGCATTGTTCTGGTGTCCGGAGGAAGCCACACTCCCGAAGTTGTTCAGCCACGGCCCCATACAATTTGCTCTTCCGATGACAGGCTTGAAGTGCTTCATAAAACCGAGTCTCACGGAGGATATCAAGGAAAGTCTTGGTTTCCTCATAGCCCCAGTGTACACCTGCCATTCGAGGATAAAGTTCAAAGATAACAGAAAAGGAGTCATCATGAAATGTAAGGGGTTAAAAAAAATCACATTCACAGTAGCAACAGGAACTATGATATGCCTAGGATTAAGCTTTGCAAGAAATGAGGTCTATATAAAAAAATTTACAGTATTTTATTGAAAGACATAAAAGAACTAGAAAAAACAGACACTATGTTTTTGGACGGAAGGCTCAAGTTGAACAAATATCAATTCTCAAATGAATCTATATAGTTAAAGTCCCAACGAGATTTTAACTGAAATTGATAAGCTCATTTAAGTTTACTTGGAAGAGTAAAAATGTAATCCCCCAAATCTGCCATTGCTATGGAGATTAACTAAAGGATTTAACTGTCTAAAAGTATCTTTTCAAAGTAGTTAAGAATAACAGACTAAAATACCCAATCGGAACTTTTCCCCCCAAAGTTCTTATCACTTCTTTAACCAGTGTTCTGAAGAGCAGAACTATGTCCAAAGTAGTTTTGACATCATTGAGTCCTCTACTCTGAAAGATGAAATGATCTGCAAGACAAGCAGATGTTCTGTATTTATAGTAGAATAAAACTTTTCAGGATGTGTCTGAATATAATTGGTTAAATATGCTTTTTGTAATCTTTAGTAAGAGTGATTTTTATCCTTTATTTTACTAGGTGGCCTCTTCTGGTCCTATCACTGGATTCCCATGTTTGAGATCACCCCAAGAACCCAACCCTCATGTTTATGGATTTTTCAGACTGGTGAGTCACAACTCTGTGAGGTATTCTTAGCCATATTTTACAGACAAGAAAACTGAAGCTCAAAGTAGTTACATGATATGTCCACTGTCACACAGTTATTAACTGGCAGTTTAACTCTGCATGTCCCAGTCACCAAATATTCAATACCAGCTTTCTTTTGCATGGTGTATCTTTCTATCTTTTTAAATTTAAGGACTCTGTGTTCTTATATTTAAGATATATCTCTTATAAGCAACATATAGTTGTTTTTTAATGTCTATTTTTTGCCATTAATGATATATTAGAATTTTTATCTACCATTTATTTTCTTTCAATTTGACGTGTATTTTGTGTTACCATTTTCTCTCTTTTTTTGTCTTTAGATTAAGCAAAACTTTTTAGTTCATTTTTTATAGTCCTTTAACTTGTTACATACTCTTTTGCTGGTTATAATAATGCATCCTTGACTTATTACAATCTAATACAATTGATTGCTTTATACCAATTTTCAGATCCTTAGAACCATTTAGCTCTATTTATCTTCCTTCTACAAGCCCCCAAATACTCAAAAACCCACGCTGTGCTCTAAACTGAAAAAGAAAACTTCCATGGCCACTCATTGCTTTCACTCAGACTGCACTGGGCATAGAAACAAACATCTGAGAGTACTTTCAGTCATGTGGCCAATCACAGTGAAAGTGGCAAGGCATGCTGACAGCACACCCCAGGTTTGGTTGCTTCTAGTTTACTTCTTTTTCCACACATCCATTTTCATACCAGAAAAAAAAAGCACAATTCTTACCACTTAGGTTTTGAAACAAGACAGGGGCACCACGGATCTCAGACTTGCGGATAAATTCAATGCCCATTTCATCACCATCAGAATCTTCTGCAGCTTCCTCCTCCTCCACCAAACTGATCTGTTCTTTAGCAGTGATGCCAATTCTCTTCAGTCTGGGCAGAGATATCATCTGTTTTGGTTTATCAGTGGATGAAGCATGGGCTGCAGGGTTCAACAAAGCATCCATGTCCTCAAAGAAGGCGCAGGGTTCTAGCATGTGGCCATTTCTCACTTTTCGATAGCTCTTCTGGAGACTTTTGAACTTGGTCCGACACTGTTCTGGAGTTCGGAGGAAGCCACATTCTCGCAACCATTCAGCCACAGCACCATATACCTGGCTATTTCGGGGACAAGCCTGAAGTGTTTCATAAAAGCGAGATTCTTTGAGAATTGCAAGAAAAGTCTTAGTTTCCTCATAGCTCCAATGAACACCTGCTATTTTTTCATCTTCTAAACCCCATTGTTGCTGCTCTCTCCATGTTTTTCCTGCATTCCTTGCAGGGATCTGAATAGCATGAATTGACTTTTCCTTGATATTCCTCTTACTAGAGGAATATAGACCTAGAGTCCACGGCTCCTTTCTTTCTTCCAACTGGGCTATCTTGTTAGATGTAGACACTGTACTACCTACAGTAAAAGAAACACATTTCATGGTAGACGCAGAAGTCATTACTGCATGCCTCAATCTGCTATAGCATGTTTTTCCAGACCTCTTCTTCACACCAAAGCCTTTCTTAGCCATGACAATGCATGCTATAGTTATTCTTACATGACTTCTTTGGCACAATCATCTATCTATTGACTTACACTATCAGTTTACTTCTCATATATGTATCACTTTTTTTCCTAGCTAGTTCTTACAGGAAAAGCTTTAAGGGTAAGAAACATATTTTATTACCTTTGATTCCCTCTCAGTAGCTAACACTGTATTAGGTTCAGAGCATGGTCCTAACCAGTATTTGTTACTTATAAAGTATACTTGGGTATGTTCCCCACACATCATCCATATCCACGCCAATATACACACATATATACATAGTGGAGCCATGAGAGATGAGAAGTCAAGAGTTTTTGCAAAATTATATTACAAAGCTAAAGTAATCAAAACAGTATGGTACTGGCATAAAACAGACACAAAGACCAGTGGAACAGCATACAGAGCCTAGAAATAAATCCATGCATGTATGGTCAACTAAACTTTGACAAGGATGCCAGGAACACACAATTGGGAAAAGATAAATAAATGGTGTTGGGAAAACTAGATATCCACGTACAAAAGAGTGAAACTGAACCATTTATCTTACACCACTCACAAAAATTAACACAAAATGGATTAAAGACTTAAATGTAAGACCTGAAACCATAAAACTCCTAGGAGAAAACAGAGAAAAAGCTCCTTGACATTGATTTTTTGGATATCACATTAAAAGTACAGGCAACAAAAGCAAAAATAAGTAAGTGGGACTACTTCCAACTAAAAAGCTTCTGCACAGCAAAGGGAAAAATCAACACAGTGAAGAGACAACCTCCGGAATGGGGGAAAATATATGTAAACCATATTTCTGATAAGAGGTTAATATCTAAAATATACAAGGAATTCATACAACTCAATAGCAAACAAACAAAAAAAACCCAACAAATAAACCAATTAAAAATGGGGCAAAGGACCTGAATAGACATTTTTCCAAAGACATACAAGTGGCCAAAAAGTAAATGAAAAGGCATTCAACATCACTAATCATCAGGGAAATGCAAATAAAAACCATAATGAACTATCACCTCATACCTGTTAGAATGGTTATCATCAAAAAGACAAAAGATAATAAGCGTTGGCAAGGAGAAAATGGAGCCCTTGTGTACTGCTGATGGAAATGCACAACCATTATGGAAAACAGAGGTTCTACAGAAAACTAAAAATATAATTACCGTATGATTTAGCAATCCCACTACAGGGTATATAGCCAAACGAATTCAAGTCAGTATGCCAAAGAGATATCTATACTGCCATGTTCAATGTAGTATTATTCACATATAGCTAAGATATGGAAGCAAGTAGGTGTCCATCATTAGATGAACAGATAAAGAAACTGTGTTATATATACACAATGGAATACCATTCACTCTTGAAACAGCAGGAAATTCTGTCATTTGCAACAACATGGATGAACCTGGAGTATATTATGTTAAGTGAAATACTCTAGGCAAGAAAGACAAATACTGCATGATCTCACTTACATGTGGAATGTAAAAAAGTCAAACTCAGAAGTGGACAGAATGATGGCTACCACGGGCTGGACGAGGAGGGAGGATGTGGAAAAATGGGAGATGTTAAAGGGTACAAAATTTCAGTTAGGAGGATTAAGCTTTAGTGACCTACTGCATAGAATGATGACTATAATAAATAAAAATGCATTGTGTATTTCAATTTGCTAAAACAGTAGATTTAATGTTTTCACCACAAAAAAACGATAAGCATGTGAGGTGACGGATTTGTTAATTAGCTTGATTTAATCATTTTATAATGTAAACATGTATCAAAACATCACACTGTACCCCATAAATATATACAATTATTACTTTTAAATCAAAAATATTTTAAATAAGACAAAAGATAACAAGTGTTGGTGAAGTTGTGGAGAAAAGGGAACCCTTGTGCACTATGGGTGGAAATGTAGTTGGTATGATCATTATGTAAAACTGTACAAAGGTTCCTCAAAAAATTAAGTATAGAACTACCATATGATCCAGCAATCCCACATCTGGGTATATATCCCGAGGAAACAAAATCAGTATTTTGAAGAAATATTTGCACTCCTATCTTCATTGCAGCATTATTCACAATAGCCAAGACATGGAAACAACCCAAGTGTCTGTTGATGGGTAAATGAAATTCAGTGAAAATGTAAAAATAAAAGATATATACATATAGACATATATAAATATATACAAATAATGGAGTATTACCCAGCCATAGAAAAGAAGGAAATCCTGCCATTTGTGACAAAATGGATGAACCTAGAGGGCACTATGCTGAGTGAAATAAGCCAGACAGAGAAAGACAAACATTCTATGATCTCACTCATATATGGAATCTAAAAAAGTTGAACTCATAGAAAGAGAGAACAGAATGGTGATTGGGTGATTGACAAGGGCTTATGAGAGGGATAGGAAAATGTCAAAGGGTATAAAATTTTACGTATAAGATTAATAAGTTCTGGGAATTTATTGCATAGCATGGTGACTAATGCTAATAATACTATATTGTATGTTTGAAATTATTGTATATTTTAAATTTACTAAATGATTAGATCTTAAGTATTTTCACTATACACGCACACCCCTAAACACACAAAGGTAACTAGGTGAAGTAATACATGTGCTAATTAACTTGACTGTGAAATTATTTCACAATGTTATTATATAAAAACATTAAGTTGTATACCTTAAATATATACACTTTTACGGGTTAATTATACCTCAATAAAGCTAGAAAAAATTTTTGGCAGAAGAATCTAATTTTAAGATAAAAACTTATAGGAACCCAAAAACAGATGTATCAAAGAAATAAAGTGCAGTTGTTTTACTTAAGGAGGTTGTGGGGGTGGGGGAGTAGAAAAGCCCTATAACTTATGAGACACATCAAAGTTAACTTTTTCCTCAAAAGAGACTGAAATCTACTCTTCTATTACATGAAGGGGAAAAATAATCTGTGATTTCACATTTTATAATTAGTACAGATAAATTTTTCAGAAGTATTTATTGAAAACATAAAATATTTCATTAACTCAAAAAAAAAAAGAACTTTCAGAGATATTCTGGTAAGATTAACAGGAAAGAGTGCTAAGAACAGGAAGCAAATTGAGTTTGCTACCTTATAATACTGAAGACATAAATATGTCTTAAATTTGAATCCTAGCTACATTGCTTACTTTAATTTTTGACTAGGGGAAGTTTCTTAACTTCTCTAAGCCTCAGTTTCTTGGGGAATAACACCATCTATTATACTAGGCCATTTTATATAAGTATGACAGTTATATATAATTCTTCTCCAGTGTTTTAATCACTAAATTATTTTATTTTTTACTGGAAGGAAGAATGGGTGAGGTGAGAGAACCTAGATAACTTATTAGACAATCCATGGAGATCCTCTTTAAGTGTTAACATTTATATCTATCTTATAATCAGTAGAAATAAATATATTAGAAATCCCCAAGTCTTTTATTTGGAAAGGAAAAGAATCCTTACCCAAGGAGACCATGTTCCCAACACTCTCCTTCCTGACACCCCGGTAGAGGTCTCTGTGAGCAGGAATCTGATGCACACTCTTTTTGTAGGAAAAACCTCTCATCATGTGGACATCTTTCAATGGTTTCTGTAACGACACTAACACCAATGACTACCAAGATAACTGTGTAGACCTCCAAAAGATGAATGATCATGGATGAAGCAGAGAAGGGCCCCAAAGAAGAACTGAAATCAAGGAGCGAAGTACATATTATGCACCAAATGAAGCAGAAGATAAAATAAAGAATCATAAGATGAGGTAAGAGATGTGATCCAGCAAGGCGTCCCATTACTCAGAAGACTTGGTCCAATCTTTTCTGGAAAAGGAATAAAGGGGAAAAAGTCTCTTGGAAGGAATGTACAAATTTGAGGATACTAAAAGCACAGGAAATCACAGTCACTAAGCACCCTAGGAAGGAAGGCCAGAAAGGACAATTACAATTTACCTGGGACCCAGAAGGAAGTCGTGTGGCTGTCACTTCTTGATCTGTGGTGCTCCATTCACCAGCAGGGGAAGGAACCCACTGAGAAGGTCGAGCTGTAAAAAGAGAAAGAAATAATTACTATTCTGGGCTCTGGCCCTTTAATCCCTGCTGCTTCTCCTATTAAGAAATGGGCATGTATTTAAAAACCAACAAATACAAACAGATCATTTTCTTGATTTCAGAACAATGCCTCAAATCACAGGGCCCTAAAGGCAGGCTCACAAACTCTAGCGCTTTCAGGGAGTGAGCAGGTAAAGTACATGATGAAGGGGGCTAGGTAAGGACGGTGGGGAACTAGAGAGCATGTCCCATGTGAAGAGCACAGCAAATGCTCAGCTCCAGCAGATGCTTCAATGTGAGACTAAAGCTATGGCTCTGGTAGAGTCAGCTTCTCAATTTTTCAAGAGAAGCCAGAAATATGGACTTTATATATAATCTCTGAAGTCTTAAACCTTGAGAACTAAAAACAAACAATAAAGCCCCCAAATGAAAACTCTTTGTAGGCAAAACAAAAGAAGTCTGACTTGGCATGCAAGTTACCAGTTTGTGATCTCTAGTGTAAGTTCCTTATGAGTGAATACTGTCCTAAGAATGTAGCATACATAGCTATGTAGTAATGGACTGGCACCCCTCAAGGGTGGAAGGAAGACATATAAACATCTACATAGCACAATTTGTGGTCTAACTTCTTCCCTATCTCGGGAAAACTTAAAGAATAAACATCATTTGTGATCAAGAACTCAAAAGCTTGCTCCACTGCTTTCTAAAGAAGCAAATCAAACCACTTCCTTGGAAACATTATAATGCCTGAGGCACACATGGCTGGAATCCTACATCTTCTTTTAGAATGAATTCATCTTTCTGAGATATCTATCCCTCAAATTTTCTGTCCTCCAAGCCCCCAGTTAGTACTTCAATTTTTCCACTTTAGAGATTCCTTGTTGGCTTGGGATGGCAAAACCCAGAAATACCACAAATAGGTATTTATTGGACTAACTTTATAGGTTAAAGTCATTGGGGCCATCTAATCCATGTGAACAAGGGAGCTTTGATGCTAATAAATACACTCTGAATAATTCAGAAACCACTAATATTTGCAATGCATTATATCATAGTATGAATTTGGGGAGGGGTAAAAGGGTGGGATATAGTAGTAGTCAATTTTGCCTCTCAGTGCAGGGTTGCATAAATCAGATTTGAGTTTAAAAGTAACTGTGCCATTAAAGGATAAAGGAAACTAACATTAATTGAGCACTATTATGCATTGGCCCTTTTACATTGCTTAATTCAATTTACACTAATGACCCTGTTATTTCCTTTTTACAGATGAGAGAATGGAAAGTTTGAGAAGTACCTGACCAAAGCCACACAGATAAAAAATGGCAAAGCTAGGTTTTGAATCCAGGTCTGTCTGCCTCTACAGTCTAAGCTCTTAACCTCTGTGCATTAATGCTCCTTTTCATATTACTTGCCAAGATTGCAGAAAGAGGGTGGCAGAGACAGGATATAAATGAAAGTTATTTTATCATTCCTCTCTTTAAGCCTGAGATAGAGCCACACCTCAAGGGATGGAAAGATCACTGTGGACTGTGAAGGACAGGGTTTCATTTCCTCGTATTTGATTTGATTTATTAATGGCTAGAGCAACCGTGAACATCAGTGGTCCCTTTTCTGTGAAGACTTATTACTATTTGTCCCTCTCATTATGCCACTTCTGTGATGCCTTCACTTGTGAGTCAATTTTTAAATATATATGTCTTGTTTCTCTTTCCAGTTTTTCAAGTTGTTTACAGTCAGCCAAGAGCACATACACATACACACAAGGCAGGACTAAAAAACACAAGCTGACTGTGGAATGGAGATTGAAAATAACACTACAAAACCTCAATGCTGGCCCAGGCAATCTAAGTTCCCCCAGTTTCCATCTTTAAGATCCCTTTTTCCTTATACTGTCCATGTTCCCAACTCTTGAAGCCTTTCTCCCCAAATACTCAATTTATTTTCAAATATATATTTAGGGGACCCTACACTGAGCAATACACAGTGTAAGGGATACAATATAAATCTGCATGGTCCCTGCACTGGGCATGCCCTGAGTCCTTCTTACCATTCTTGGGTAAGGGTTGATGTTCTTTCTTTCGGTTCAGCTGTTCCTGGTGTCCTGAGTGGAGGCTTCCAGCTTCCTCCCGAGATACCACCCTGGCTTGGGTCTCCATCTGGTCTGGCTGAAAGTCTGCCACCTCCCACACTGCTCCAAGTGGGGCTTGCTTCTTTCTGTGTACAGGACTACTGACCTGGGAAATAAAGTCAATACCATAATGGAAAAAGGGAGGAAAAGAGGTCCAAATCAGGGGCCAAATTCTCCCAAGAAAGAGAAATCGAAGAAGGATAGAAGACATAAGAAGGAATGAAAATTTCACTCTATTGCTAAGGGTGCCTCTGAGGGCACTGGGTTAACAGTACTGTCCAGGAGTTTGGGCATAAAGGAACAGAAGAGTGCTCTTTATTACTACATAGAGGGGAAAAATCTCTCAGGAGTGAAATACATAGCCTTCCTGTTACTAGAATAGCTGTGACTTGAGTCCTCACATCCACTAGGTTCACAGAAAAATAATCGTTATCAGAACATAAATATATTCATTAGTGAACTGAAAACTTATAAAATTAATCTCCACATCTGTCTATCTATCCCTGACCAACACAGCAACCTGCTGATATATTTTACATAACGTAAATCCTGTGCAAGGTGAAACTGCAAATCTTGCAAATACTGCAGGATTTCATGAGGTTAATTAAAGGCATGTTGAAAAAAAACTAGAAGAGCATGCGAAACTATTGAAAAATGAAGATCTGGCAGTTAAACTGGAGCAGAGTGACAAGGATGATGGCAATGACAGCACTTCAGAAGAAACTGACTGGAATATTAAACAATTAGAGAGGACTCTGGGATAACAGATGGAGTTCATCTTTTTTTGAGGGGAGGAGCAAAAATAACCTTCTTTGATCAAGCTGCAAAAGTCAACCCCTGTGAAGCATAACCATATTGTTCTCTCATATATTTTTGTTGCAAATATTATGCCAAAGATTAAAACAAATACTTGGGTGCATAATGTTTAGTTTCATTTGCAAGATAATATTTCAATCAAAGCTTTTATTTTTCTACTTAGTATAAAATTCTGATCCTCTTTTAAGTGGATTTACTTTAAGGGTCTTTTATTAGTACCATTTATCTTTCCATAATAAGCACTTCTTGTAATACATCCCTGTCCACATGCCTTTCTCATTCTCTTCTTTCTAAATATAGAAATTTGGAAAATCGTCTCACCTGCTGTCTTAGTCTTCCAGTCTCTTTCTCTAAATGTACTACCAGCGCGACCGCCTCCTCTCCACTTTCTGGACACTGTTTCTGTGCCCAAGCCTGAATCTTGTCTGGTAAAATGGTGAGAAACTGCTCAATCACCAGCAGTTCAAGTATCTGCTCCTTGGAACGTATTTCTGGCTTCAGCCACCGGCAGCAAAGTTCCCAGAGTTTACTGAAAGCTTCATGGGGTCCGGTCACATCCTCATAACAAAATTGCCTGAAGCATTTGCGAAAGGTCTCAGACTCAGAGATATCTGATCCTTCCAGAATGGGCTCTGATGTCCACTCGGGGTGGACATTATTTTTTTCCACCTTCATTATTAGGCACCCCTCAACTTCCAGGGGTGCGTCGATCTGAGGGTCCAGGGCTGCAGCCATGCTCCAACTCGAGGGTCAGCCTCACGTCTAGCTCAAAGTACGGGCCCAGTAAGCTTCCAAGACGTCCCTGTTTAAATTAATGTTCTTGGAATTGTGGTAAGGTAGGGAGGTAAAACGACAGTGGCAGCAAGAACAGGGTACTCCAAGCTGATTAATCAAATCTATCCGAGGCCCTTGAACAGGTTAACGTGCACCCTAAGGTCCAAAAACCCAGTCGCTTCTCCAAACGAGATGTATCCTCGCAAAGTGATTTTCCAGGGTGCATCCCTTTTAGTTCAATGACGGAAACCAAGAGACTCGAGGACTGGGAGGAAATCAAGCGGATTGAGGAAAGGATGGACAGAGGAGGCAGCCGGGGCCGGAGGGGGTGTGTCAGATACCCCGGGGTCAGGCTTCGGGGAGGCGAGGCCCCGAGTGGGTGGGGCCGGATGTGCAGGCCCCGCCCGGCCCCGGGTTCCGCGCTGGGGTCACCGCAGCGCTAGGGTGTCCGGTGGGGTCCGGCGGTGTCCGAGGCCAGCGCCGGGCTCTTTCTGGGCCCACAGCGGCCCCAGCCGTCCTCAGAAAACCTTCTGCACGCCGAGAAAAAGCTGCAGAACGGTTCTACCCGGAGGGGAGCGAAGCCGCGGGACGAAGCATAGGCCTCTCAGGGGGCGGCGGCCAGCTCCTCGCGTTGAGCCTCGTCCACTCGGCCCGCGGAGAGCGCGGGTGTCGCTGGGAGCCAGGGCTACGCATGCGCCGCCCGCAAGCGAGCGCCGCGGGGTCCGCGCGAGGCTTCCTCGCGGGCGAGAGGCTAGGGGGAGGGGGCTGTGTGGTGGACTCTCGCGAGAGAGCGCAGCGCGACGACTTGCCGCTGAGGGACTTTAGAACTGAGGGAGGCGGAGGGTCTTCCCCGGGGCGGAGGGACACAGTGGGACTCCAGTACACATTCCGCGGAACATGGTGGAACGGTATGAGAAAGGGGAGTGCGAGTCCTGCTTCAGGCGGAGAATATAGGCGGAGGAGAGACATCCCTGAGGTGGAGGAGCGCTGCTGGGCAGGCGGCACAAAGTCCTTTTTGTTCCGGAAGAACACGCGGTGAGTGGGGACTCCTTTGTCTTGCGGAGGGATTGCGTGTCATTTTTCCGCCCCAGGCCCTCGGTGGATCCCGACGGGCGTTCTGGTGGCGGGGACCCTCGGCGGGACCTCCTTCCTTTCGCGGAGGGAGACGGCGCGAGGCTACGTCTCCCTCTGCGGAAGGACCTGGGCATTCCTGGAAATTCCTGTGCATTCCCTGTGCTTTTTGATCTTTGGGGTTCTTACTGCCTCCTGCTGTGTGGGTCTGTCTAAACAAGAGCAGAAGGGATCTGGGGATCAGAGTCCATCTGCCCAGCCCCCTCAGCGTCCTCCCTCCTGATGCTGTCCCTTCTCCCAACTCCTGTTAAACCTGGAGCCAGCTTCCACAGTGTGTATTAAGCACCTACGATGTGCTAGGCAGTGTTTTAGGCACTTAGCGTGCATCAGTGGGCACAACAAATTCTTGTTCTAAGGAGGTACGATAGCCTATTAGAAAACACAGCTTAGTGACTTCTTTCGCAGAACACATATTAGTTAAGATTTGATGTGCAAATTCTAGCATCCCGGGGGGAGGCGTAGAGTACCATGTGCGTAACAGGCAGTAGGTGGGTAAGGGTCAGAGAGAATCTCTTGGGCGACTTATACATGCCAGGGTTTGTATCAAAGTCTTTATATAGCTAACTTTATTGCATTTCTTTTTCCTTATAAAATAATATTTGTTGATATGGTGAGAAATGGTGAGCAAAAACAGGATCCCCTGCCATTGTTGAGTTTTCAGTCTGGTGGGAGAGGCAGGCATTAATCAGATAATCCACAAACTCACGCACAGTTGTAACAGCGGAGGGTACTACCAAGAACAGAAGCACGGTGCAGAGAACCTATGCGTATTAGAGGGATTTGATCTAGTCAAAAGGTCTGGGAAGGGTCTTTTGAAGCAATGCTAGGGATGAGATCCAAAGGAGTAAGAACGAGTTAGGTAAAGTCTAGTCACAAAAATTCTATAAAACAGATTACCTCTATTTTAGATTTGAGAACATTGAGACTTCAGGAAGGTGATGTAACTGCCGAAGGTTACATCCGATTAAGCGGCAAGGCAGGATTCAAATTCAGATAAGAATGAGGTCACTTATATTCTCCTGGGGCTATTTAGTGGTTTTAGGAGAGGCAAGTATCGTAAGTAGCTCGGAGACGTTAGAGAGTAGCAGGGTCACAAACTGAAAAGCCTGCAGAGCTCAGGCAGGTAACAAATGAGTGAAGTAGGTAGAGTATAGGACAATAGAGCATGGTGGGGACTCTAGTGAACTGGAGACCACATTTCCTGTCTAAAGGAAGCAGCCATTAGTTCCAGCCTCTTGTTGCCATGCAGGAATACAGACCGAGCCTTGCCAGATCTTCTGATTTTTAAACAGAAGCTGGCAAACAGTCTTCTTAGGTGAAATTATCACACTTTTAAATAATTAGTGAATACATTTATCTGTCTCGCCTACTAGACGGTCAGGCCAATGAAGCAGGAAATTTTATTTTTTAACTACGGTGTACCAGCAGCTTAGAACAATGCCTCACACATAGTAGGCCTTCAGACAACCTCCTCTGCTGTTCATAGCCTCTGAGCAATTTCTCCTATGTGTTTTTGAAGCACCTTTACATTCATTTTCTTATTTTACCAACCAGTCTCTCTCTACTGGCTCCTGATTTGCTTCCGATGCATGAAAAAAAACCCCAATAAGGTCCCCCAGGGAAATAGTTGTGTTTTCCTTTTGTACCTTTCTACCTTCTTCATAATTCTCTTCATCTTAGTGTACTTGGCATTGTATTTTGGTTCCCTGTGCTTATCCAATCCATTTTATACTTAAACAATATTTTTTGTGGTTGCTTTGGTTCTCACCTAGTCTTTAGCGTGTGATGTTGAGCCCACCACCACAACCACGTATCATATCTCTTACACTTGGCTCGGCCCCTGCAACTCCGGGCTGCTCCCAGCTGCTTCTTTTCAGGGAAGGTGCATGAAAAGGTTTCATTTCTTAGAAATTGCTCTCCTGAGACATCGTGCTCCAGAAGAAAGTGATCCTCCCTGGACATCAGAACTTCCTTCTCCATCACACGGATTTGATCAAGACAAAATCTCAAGTCTGCATGGGACAGTTACAACCTAGCCTCCTTAAAGCTCATCAGAGAGTAGAGGGTACTAAGGCTTGCTCTTTAGTGTCTCTTACATGCAGGATCATAAGTTCTTCAGGAATTATTGCTATTATTTTTGGTAGCCTCTCAGTAACACACACATAGACTCATGTATATTTATGTACATATATGTTGGAAAAATTTCAGCCATACAAAAAAAGTAGAATTAACTCATGTTTCTGTCCTCCAGCTTTAACAATTATCAACTCATGACCAATCTTGTCTTCTCTATACCTCCACCCACTCCCCTGATCCTGGATTATTTTGAAGCAAACCCTGGACGTTGTATCATTTTATTTGTAACTATCAGAATGTATTGCTGAAAGACAAGAACTCCTGTTTTAAATGTAACTTCAATATCATCATAAACCCTTTCCGGTTGCATCAACAATTCCTTAATATCATTTTAAAGAAAACAACTTATTTGTTTGAATGGTGGTTTTCAAAGGAAAAAAAGGTCATAGATGCTGAGCAGTATAAAAAAACAGATGTCCTCCTCCACATTTGCTAATTAGGTGTTTACATTTAGTTCAGCATGAAAATGTTGGTACCTTGAGAAGAGAGGAGCAGATGATCAGGAATAGTGAATCAATATGGGTCAATAAATAAAGTAGGTCATGCTACTCTTGGGGGAATGGTTATTTTCTTAAGGACCCCAATCCCCACCCCCAGGGCTTTGGGAGGCCAAGGCAGGAGGATCGCTTGAGCCCATGGGTTTGAGACCACCCTGGGCGACATAATGAGACACCCGTCTCTACAAAATAAATAGATTAGACAGGCACAGTGGCGTGCCTGTAGTCCTAGCTACTTGGGAGGCTGAGGGCGGAAGATCGCTTGAGCCCAGGAATTTGAGGTTACAGTGAGCTATGATAGTGCCACTGTAATCCAGCCAGGGCAACAAAGTGAGACCCTGTCTCAAAAACAACAACAAAAAATCCTTCATCCTCTGAGTTGACCCAAATCCAGAGCCACTCTCTCCCTATGATCCCAAGAATACTCATGCTAATGTTTCCTTGGTAGAATTTCTGATACCACCGCTGTCATTTTACAAGCAGCCTTGGAGAGACCTTCCCCCTTCACCCCACCGGATTCTTCTGTCCGTGGTGCTGATCCATCAGCCCTTTGGCCAACAACCTAACAAACTATAGCTTGCTTTTGGCCAATGGGATTTAATGTAGGCTTACCATAAAAGTGAATATTAAATATATATTAAATAATTCCAAGAAGTGATATCTATGCCTACGCTAAGTTTGAAAAGAAACAACCAAAAATAAAAACTCCAAGCTAGAGATTTTTTTAGTAATGCCAATTACCTCTCACTTTTTTTATGCCCTGAAAATCCAATCCATTTCTTTAAAAATTGAGAAATAGAAGTGAAAACATTAGATATGTATGTATTGGTGTGTCTACTTCAGACATAGTATTAATATTTTCAACTATGATTTCTTAACCAAGCTATAACTAATTGAAATAATTTTCCATTTCACAAATTAAAGATTGCCTCTCCCATTGGCTCATTAATAATGGTCATATAGCTGACAGAATAACAACCATTAAAGTGTTTCAGTTCTTTTGACTCTATTGAGCGATACAATAATGAAAAATTCTCAACTATTTCTTGATATGCATATATATAGTCAACAATTTTTTGCTCCATGCCCCTTTACAAGACACTATGCTAGGCATTAAGTGGGACAGATTGATACATAAGACATAACCCTTTTACTCAAAGTATTAACAGTATTAGCAATAACATGGAGAAAATTAGTCATAGAAATGTTGTACATTAGGATAAATGTGATACGGGTACGCATGAAGGCCT